TACACCCAAGTATTGACTCTTCCTCCATCTACCAATACTGTGGCAGGGGCAGAAAGGGTAATCACTCCACATACCTCCTCCCTCTTGATGCCCTCAAGATACTTCTCAACTGCTCAGGTCCAGCCAGGAGGCTATTCCCTCTTAGTTTCCTGACAGTAGAGCCAGGCAGACAGGTAGAAATCCCTTAACAGAAGATGAGACCTATTCATCAAATAATCCCCTTTCATCATCAAGTTCAAGCTTCCTATCTGTGTACCTTAAACCCTTCCAACTCTGTCCCCTCCCTACTTATGCACCCACATCTAGCCATCCCTTCAGCAATGCCAACCTTGCACATCGATTTGTCCGTTTAGCCCACAAATATAGCTGTGCTTTCTTCCATGCTTACCTTCATGCACAGAATGCCCTTCCTAAATTATCCTGTAAGACCACCACCTTCTCCCCTTCAAATCCCTCTTCAAGACTCACTAGTGTAGTGAGACCTACAAGAAGTCAGCCACCTAATGTTGAATAGGCTGCAGGACAGTTAGAGTTACATGATATCATTTATTTAGAGATTTGATCAAACTAAGAATTCAGAACCACCTAGCAGTGCAACGATTAACTTATATGACTACCTGACCTCAACATTACCCTTGTCTTTCCTTCTCCTTGCTTGTTTCAACCTATCTTGAAGCAATCAAGTATAAGCTCTTTGTGATAGGGACATGTCCTATTTGTTTATATGGAACCTAGCACAATGAGACCCTGATCCGGACTAGAATCTTTGGGTTCCACAGCAATATACATAATATCCACCTCTTCCTGCTTGGGGTTCCCAAATAAGAGAATAAAAAGATGAGACAATAAAAGGAAATTTCAATCCACAAATTCAAAATAAGCCACACGTATGAACAGTTAGTCTAACAGGCCACCTGCCAGGATAACAGGGTAAAATCATCCCAAATGATAAAAAGAACAGTAGCTATCTCTCACCAGGAACCCCAAGGTCGCTGGGACAGTATCAGTTAGGGATTAAACTCATGCTCAAATCTCTGGAACCATAGCAACAAGAAATAAAAATCTCACAGAAGCTCCTCAAGGCATCAATCTAGATGAAATCAGCAACAGGATGGATGCATTCATAAAACAGAAGCAACAGTGATGATGACCTAATGGGAGCTTCCTAAACACCCTGTCCAGATGATAAACAGTAAAGTCGCCCCAAAACGGCAACAAAAATGCTGATGTATCAATAATTGTTGCTTATTATGAAGTGTAGCTTTACCAATCCTTCTGTACACACACACAAAACAAAGGTAAGGTATCAAGTGCTTCAGAGAGAACAATTTTTCTCCCCACTCTTCTGCACTCAGCACTGGAACCAAGCTCAGGTGGCAGTGACCTGCTGAGACTGCTAAGTCTCTACCCCCCTCCCTGAAGTAGTAATGTGAGGTAAATGGAAGGAAAAGTGACAGAAGTTCTATGAAACTCAGATGTGTTTCAAGACCATTCATTACTTAATAAATCTGCTCTTCAGAATAAAGAGGGTGAATTGTGTAGGAATCATTTCACCTATTGACTGAAACAAGTATTAATAGATAGGATAACACCTTCTAATGAGCTTTGATAATAAAAGGAAGAGGAAAAAGAAAAAAACAAGAACACAGAACCATCCTCTGGATCTCAGTGATATTTACGTTGTCCATTTATTTACATGGGGAGCTCTGAGACAGGGATCTTGCCTGGCTATGTGCCTCGAAAGCCACCAAAGCATACTGGTTCATGTTTCACAATAAGGCTTTAAGTTATCTTTCAGGAGAAAAGCAAGATAGCAGAAATTAAACAGAACCCTGATTCTTCTGCCACTAATGCAAGCCACTGAGCCTTAAAAAAAACAAACAAAAAAAAACAACAAAAAACTCGACATGTTAGCAAACAGAGGGGATGCTGCAGCTGCAAAGCTCCATACGTCCACTGCAGAAAAGTTCTTGTGAACGTTTCACAACCTGCTGACTTGCCACCATCCAAGGCACCTATGATTAGGACAGATCAGCATGCACTAAAGAACGAGCAACGGCTAACATGCATCTAGAGACAATACCATCTCTGAACTATCCCAGATTATAAAGCATGCCACTCATTTTAGATGCACATCAAAACCTTATAAATCTGGTTTTATTTCACATTTATTAGCTTAAATTATGGACTCCAGTAATACTGAATCAGAAAACTAAGGCTACAGAAAGCTTTAAACGTATTAATGAAATGACCTTCACATCATGTCAACCTTCCTGCACAGTATTTTGATGTTGCTGTATCCTCTATTTTGAATCTATGTCTGTTTTTAAAGGGCCCTGCCTCAAAATTGAAACTTGAGGTTTTAAGAACTATGCACAGGAGTTACATCTCCCGCTGAAGTGTCTCGTGGCTTAATTTTGTGCTACAAAAGAAAAAGATGAGTGCCAAATTACATTTACCCACCTCCTCAAGAAAATTAACAGCAATAAAGTACAGTGAATCTCACTTTCTGAAAGGACAGAAAAGACCAGATGAGGGAGCAGGAGTAATTTAAGGATTTATTTACATTACAAAGCCAAAGTCTTCATTTAATATCCAGAGTTAAGATTCCTAAATGGCAACGTACATACCCATCACATTTACAAAACCCAAGCAAATCAATCATTAGGGATATTAAATCTTGCTTTGTCTACATAAACACATTTTATCAACTCCAAAGATACCTATTTACTAAAACAACCTACCTCTGAGCCAAAATAGGTATGAGTTCCATCAGTAACCTCACAATGCAAGTCCCTTTTAACAAATTATATAGGTCCACGACACATTCAGATGCACATTAACTGTCATCTATATGTTCACAAGTCAGCCAACATACATAATTTAACATTAACTAATCTCTTTTGTTGAGCTACATACACAACTAATCTCCACAAACTTTTTACACATATGGCCAAAAAATATTTTAACTGACATTTCCCCATCACACAAAAACTCATGTCAGATTTAAGGTTATGCTGAAATAACCTGTGCATTTCTTTATTCTTGAATAATATGCTTATTAAGTGAGCAGCTTCAGATATAGGATGTCCTTAACCATGGGATAGGCATGTCACTTAATTTGATAGGCCAAATGAGGTTGCTGGGGGGGGAGGGGAGAAGGAGGTATTATTGCCCAGTTATTAATTTTTACAAATTTAGTTTTTCTTGGGTGGGTAAATTTAAAAGTTTTTTCCTTTTTAAAATATGAATAGAAGGAATATGTTATCAGGTTTTTAAATTAAAAGGAGTGGTGACCAAGGTAAGGAAACATTACTGTTCATAGTTTAGATTGGGGGGAAGGATAGCTCAGTGGTTTGAGCACTGGCCTGCTAAACCCAGGGTTGAGAGTTAAATCCTTGAGGGGGCCATTTAGGGATCTGGGGCAAAAATCTGTCTGGGGATTGGCCCTGCTTTGAGCAGGGGGTTGGATTAGATGACCTCCTGAGGTCCTTTCCAACCCTCTGATTCTATTATAAGTGTGTGTCCCCAAATAAATTCCATGTCCCATGAACACATCATGGTTTCACAGTTCACATATTTAGGGTTAAATATAGCAACACTATTGTTTTACTCCTTTCAAAAATGGATATGAATGGAAATGAAAATTATCAGTTTGCAATCATTTCTTTTCTCTCTGTTGGGATATATAATCAGAGCCTAATATCTCTATACACAAACACTGAGTGGGACAAAATGAACTTCAGGATTACAAGCATTAAAATAAAAATAAAAAGAATCCTTGAGTTTTATGAAGGAGACATGATAGGAAATGCAAACATCCCTAACCAAGACCTAATCTTTCCAAGTTTCCTGACAAATAAGTTTGACAATAAGCCAAAATTGAAACTGTTCAGTGAGCTGTTTTTTCTCTGTTCTTGTCATTATCAAGTATCTTTACAGTTGCGTTTTAGAAGTAGGCTCTGATTTTAAATCCCTGATCATATCTCATTTATTAAGGAAAATGGTTTACATTACCCAAGGCATAGTTAAATCAGAAGGCTCTGCCTCCCCAAAGTCTCTGTTGTATTTTGTCATTGAAGAAACTCTTTCACTTTAATTACATTTCAGGTCAAGCTGCAAATTTAAACTTTTCAAAGTCTGTGGTATGGTAACAGAATCAAACTGAATCAGATCTTTGAGGCAGAGACTATTTGTTATGCTAAGAGATACTGGAGACTGCATTGAGCACAAAGCTCAGACTGAATGAGAGCGCATTCTTCAATTAACACATCAGTCAGGACAAGCCCCCCCAATCTGAGGCAAAGGGGGGCTGCAATCCTGCCCAGAGTGGGTGGTGTGGTTTTGCTGAGTACTGTTTTTTTTGCAAAGGCATGTGTTAAGGAAGGCAGAATACAGAGAAGGAGAGCCAAGCAGCAGTCTGTGAGCAGTGTCTGACCATGTGGTGTTGACTAAAAGGCTTGAGGCTGTAAAATAAGAATTTCTTTTTTTTTGTTTTGTTTCCTCTCGCATTTGGAAAAGGAGGAGTTTGTACATTCCTCAAACAAATTTGCAGATTTTTAAAATATTGTGTACAGAATATTTAAAATTTGGCACAGAATTCCCTCAGGAGTAAGTGTTGTAAACAAGACACAAGAAGTAATTCTTCTGCTTTACAGCACGCTGATTAGGCCTGAACTGGAGTATTGCATCCAGGTCTGCGCACCAAATTTCAGGAAAGATGGGGACAAATAGGAGAAAGTTCAGAGAAGAGCAACAAAAGCGATTAAAGGGCCAGAAAACATGACCTATGAGAGAAGTTTGAAAAAACTGGATTTGTTTAGTCTGGAAAAGAGAAGACTGAGAGGGACATAACCTTTTATGTACTTGAAAACTGTTGTTACAAGAAGGACGGAGGTAAATTGTTCTCGTTAACCTCTGAAGATAGGACAAGAAGCAATGGGCTTAAATTGCAGCAAGGGAAGTTTAGGTTGGACATTAGGAAAACCTTCTGGTCAGGGTAGTTAAGCACTGGAATAAATTGCCTAGGGAGGTTGTGGAATCTCCATCATTGGAGATTTTTAAGAGCAGGTTAGACAAACACCAGCCAGGGATGGTCTACAATACTTAGTCTTGCCATGAGTGAAGGGGGCTGGACTAGATCACCTCTCGAGGTCCCTTCCAAGCCTATGAATCGAACTTGA